CCCCCCCCCCAAAAGGAGAGAAATCTTTGAACATGTTAAGTCTATTACTGAAATCATCTGCCAGCTACAGCAGGGTTTGTAACCGTAGCCTTTAAACAGGGAGCGCCTGGGTCTGTGTTTGGCCCGAGCGTTCCGCTGAAAAGTTTCTCCATGCAGAGCAACAGCTCCCTGCGACTTCCTGCACAACATTTCTGTTAATCTCAGTCCAGCAGAGCAGTTTCAGGCCCTGTATTATTCACACATGTCAGAGCCACAACTTCAAACTGCATGCAGAGTTAACTGAGGACAGAAAACACTTCCTTTAAGCAAACCCTGGGTGCATGTCTGTGATGCCATGTCTCAGACACATCTTTGTCCCACTCTTTGCACGGCTTTAAGTCACACCAGAAGCATTTTAGCAGTACAGGATCTTTTAGTGTTTCATTTCCTGCCCTCCTCAAGTGCTCTGTACAGCTCGAAGCAGAAAACTTCTGTGGGGCTTTTAATGTGGACCCGAGTGGATCTGATCAGCTCCAGGATAGCTCCTGAATAGAATCGAAGACTTTCAAGTAATTTATTAGGCTTACAGAGCTGTACTGGACAGAGTTGACCTGAAACATAAAAGGAACAGAGACGCGACTAAATAAATCCTGGTCGATGATCTATGCGGGGGGACTGGAGATGATGGTTGTCCTGCAGCCCCAGAAGAGCCAATCAACAGTCAAAGCAGGAAACATGTTAGTAGCTGTTTGACTGGCACGTTTCTGCATTTGCAAACGGAAACATGGCTGCAGAGTGGCAAAACTCGCTTCTAGAGGGACTCTGAAGGTACTGCTGTGCAACAGTAGTGGTACAGATATCACACTTTGTGGCAAACTGTGGATTTACACATAACAACAACAAAAGCCATATAAATATTTACAGACATCAGACGGTAATTAATCGGTAATCTGCCTGAGCTGTGTCACATACGACCACATATTTCACCAGTTCTTTGAGGGCGCTGCTGCAGCTTGCACAAGCGCATGTTGCAACTCCTCTCTGGCATGCCATTTAATGAGCAACATGAAATCTCTCGCTTCCACTGATACGCCTTTGAGCTGCATCCTTTGTTCACTCCTATGGCCTATATGTGGAGGAACAAGAGAGGATCCACCAACCCGAGCAAAGCACAGCAGCTCACAGAAACCTCTTTCCCACAACATCACATTACAGAACCGTACACGCAGCTACAAGCTCAAACTGATTTCACTCAGTCCTTTTTCTAAGGTATCTCACACACTTTGAGTTTCACAAGTGTTTTTGAATTGTGTTAAAATATTTTAAAACTTGCTGTTTAAGCATGAATCATCAGAATTACACAACTACATGTGAAACACTGCACGGAAATCCGTCTGTGCAGAGACGGAAAGTACTCGTGTGCAGTTTGAGAAATCTTTCAACGAGCCCAGTGTCGTCACACGAGCGCTAACATCACTCTACCTGATTTTCACACCTCCGTTTATTTGGGGCCAATCACAGCGATTGATTAAGTTAAGAAAGCCAAAATATTTTTTTTGCCACTTGTTAAACAATTCTGTCCAAAGTTTCAGTTCAGTCTCTCCTGCTCTTTTACCTTACATGTGTATTCATGTCATACATGAGGAAAGCTGTGCATTTTCTATTCACAGATTCGTGATTGACCGCGCAGCCCATGACCACTTCTCTTCAGCCCACTGTAATCTGGTTTTCTTCCATTTAAGTGTCCGTCCTGGTTTTTGTTTGGAGTTTCTGTGCCAAAAACACTGATGCCCGCTTTCATTTATTTTGTGGATTTTCTGTTTTCGGGGCAGACTGCGTTGAGTTTTCAGCTTTGATGTGTTTCATAAAAACAGCCGTTTGTTAAGAAATATTTGTGAGTCATATCTGTGATTTGTGCATTTTCTACAGTTTCCCAAAAAAAAGAAAAGAAAAAAAAGGAAGCTGAAGCAGAATCCTCGAGGTTTATCGATTCCACCGTTTTTGTGGGTCGGCAAAACATCCATAAGGCTCGATAAAATTTTTAGTTCAGTCCAATTTGATTAAATTGGTCAGAAAAAAACTAATAAAATTATCACGTTGTGAAATTTACCAAAAACAACTGCAGCTTTGAAGTTTTAAAAATGCAAAAAAAGAGAATAAAGTTCATTAATAAGAGGATTTACTTGGTCTTTTTCATGTTGTTATACAGCATTTTTACATTTCTATATACAAGCTTGTTTATTTTTTAATAATTTTTCTGCCCTTTTAAACTTATTGAGCCATTTTATATCTGTATGTTTTATTTTATTGAGTTATTCCACTTTGTTTATAGGCTGTGTTTAATGTTTTGGTTGTTATAAAGCAAACTTTCAGCATGAATAAAGTTCTACAGCTCGTCTTAAAAATAGATTATAGAGCTTTATTCAAAAGCCCGCCTCACTGCTTGAGATGAAATGTCACTTTCTGCTTTTCTAACCACAACTTTCTTATACGCACCGTCATTCTTGGTGCAGTGAAAATAACATTTCCCATGAGCCCGGGTCGCTTGGTAATGGCAGCCTTAGAAAAATTTCCCAGGGCACCCGTTTTTTTCTCTCCTGCAGATCCTCACGTGTGCACTTTTCAGTCGGCTGCTAAACATGGAGCCAACTCACAGATACGGCAGTTCAAAGCTTGCTGTAGTGTTTGCAGTGAATATTCTATGAAGGCAGATTTATGAGCAGAGATGGGATCTGTAATATACAGAGGAATGTGGGTCAGGAATGTGCAGAACCACGGTGGGTGGTGGTGGTGGTGGAGAGCTTGTAAGAAACAAGCAAACCACACAGACATGCGGTGGATATCTCCCTTCCTGCCCTCGTCCCCGGGGTCTTGCAACTTTAATGAAAACAGACTCCAAAGGATTTTTTTTTTCCTTCTCCCCATCTCTCTTTCTTCTTCCCTGTCACAAGAGAGCACCACGGCTTCTTTATAAAAAAAATATATATATATTCCCCTCCATAACCCCACAGAACAGATAACAACTCGTTCAATTAAGTGACTTCGCCCACATTAAAAATTCGAGGTGAAAAGTATAGAGCGAGGGAAGGAGAAGGATGGGGCGAGTGAGGCTGTACTAAATTGTACTCTTTAATATTCGACTCAGAAATACAAAAAAAGACAAACGAAGAGGCGTGAGGCGAGGAGTCCGTGGCCTTGATTTTGATGGGGGGAAAATAAAATAATCCCTCGTCAAAATGGAAATGTGGCCACAGTGGAATCTCCACAGTAAGAGCAGAGGAAGCTGTGGAAATGTTGCAGGAAAGAAAGAGGCGGCTGGATTTTCAAATAGAGCAAGCGTGCGTCTCGAAAGGACTGAATAAATAAGCACGCCGTCGCTTGAGACGGGATCAATGACACTGACACTGAATCTGTCAGGAGGCTGAGCTCCCGCCGACACACACACACACACACACACACACACACACACACACACACAATCATTTTCCTTTCTCTCTCACACACTCGCCATCCAAACACCCCTCCCTACCCTGCCTTTCATGCTTTCTTGCCCCTCTCTTCTCCTCATCCCCATCCCCCTCAGTTGCTCTTCTCCACTCCTTCGGAAAAGAACCAAAAACAGAAGAAGCGATGGATTTGGATGGAGAGGGAATAGAAAACAACTAAACTGTGCATGCACGGGGAAGGCAGGTGTAAGACAAGACGACAAAGGATAATCACAAAATTCAAAGAGCACTCACAGGGCGATACAAACGTAAAGATTAGAGAAAATGGTTGAGGGGGTGCCGATGCAGAAACTGATATTATGTAGCAAGAATTGCTCATTTACGCTGGAGTCATACGTGCAGAAAATTACATGCATGTTTCTGCTGAGCTGCAGAAACACCGGCCTCACACAGCTCTCTGATTGGCTGCCGCCTCCACGGTTCCTTTGACACTCACACCAACTGTTCAACTGGGTTTTAGAGAGGCTCAACACAACTCAACAAAAATATAAATATACTTTGTTAGCTTCCAGCTAAATTTCTATTTTCTTAATTAGTTTTGGTCGAATTTCTCAGCTTTGATGGCAGGTTTGTTGATGGAGAGTCGCAGGCAGCTTAGAAAATTGATGGATGTTTTATTAATATCTAAAGGTTTATACATTTTTTTCTGTATTAAATGTGTACCGTTTGTGTATTTTCCCCACTGCCATCTTCCCAAGCTCAATCTTTCTGTGTTTTTATTTTTTACATTCAGAGTCAGGTCCATAAATATTTAACTTTGGTAATATTGCCTGTGTTCTCCACCACAGTGGATTTTAAATCAGACGGTCCAGATGTGGTTGAAGTGCAGACTTTCAGCTTTGATTCAAGAGGTTTAATAAAAACATGCAATGAACCGTTTAGAATTAGGGATTTTAACTGGACAAAGTTTTTAAAAAGAAACACGTTTGAACTCAATGACTTACTGAAATCTAGAACTCGTATGCATCACCAAATGCTGCGTTTCCTCCCTTGAGCCCCTCTGCATTTACATTCATGAAGGCATTTCCTGAATGTAGACTTTGACAATGGTGTGCTTTCTTCTTCGAGGGTGTTCTTGACTTGGTTAGATGCTGTGCAGTTGTTGTGCAACTCTGTTTTCATGCACTTGTCTTCCTTGAGCTGTTCGGTGCATTTACTATTTTTTCAAAACTACCTGATTACAACTACTAAAAATGAGTGCTTGGAATCAACTCAGCTTTTCTCTACTTTGTCATGTAACATCTGTCACCTGTCCAATTAACTTTTAACCTCTGTGAATAAAAATGGTTGTAATTTTTAAACAGTGCAATGCTTTTATTAAACCTCTTGAATTAAAGCTGAAAGTCTGGATTTTTGATTTAAACTCCACTGTGGTTGTATGCAGATGCAAGATTTGCATCTCTGTCCGAACACTCACTGACCTAACTGTATGACTTCATGCTTTGCTATGCAAAGTGTGTCATGGGGTCAACTTTGCATGAAAAAAAGAGCCCAACAGTTAATCCAGCGACTAGCCTTTTTGCATAGTAAAGCAGAAATGCACATGGAAGTGAAGTAAATGCAAAATAAATTGCATTTACAGAGGAAAATATGGAAAATTGACTGCAATGTAATGTTAATCCAAAGTAAAAAAACAAAAAAAAAACAAAACATTGGTGCATTTAACAGCTTCCACATTTGAGTTATGTCTCAGTTTGGCACTTTTGTTCTTCCATATAATAAACTACATGAGAAAAATCCCACTTCCCACACATCTGAGTCTTTATTTTGTTGTAAAGGGAACAGAGAAGATCTATTCTAGTCACCCCACCTCTGCCCCAGGCTAATCCTCCTGTCCACCCCTCCTCACACTGATACCTTTAACTGTGAGACTCTCTAACCATGACTAAGTTGCCTTTAATAAACTGAACCAGGTGCCTTTGGCTGGTGATTTCACCGCTGTGCAGGGAATCGACGAGGACATCACTCTGTGAGTGAGAGAGATCACAGGGAAAGCCAAGCAGATCTCCAGTATTTCACGTGACCTCTCTGGAGGGTGTAAAAGCCAAGAGCAGAAGAAAGAGAGGAAATTTTCTGTGGTGATGAAGAGCGACCATGCGTACCTTCTTTGGCAGCCTGCCAGAATTCAAACGCCACTTTGAACGCCTGAGCCACCGTTAGAGTTACCGCCTGGGCCTGTTGGGACGGAGGAAGAGACAGAGACAGGAATGAGGGATGAATAATACACGATACGCATCTCATGCATTACAGGAAGGAAGGGAAGGTATGGCTGTGACACAAACAGGAAACGACCATCGACATAAGAAGGATTTTCTTCACAGATACTCGGAGAGAGGGAAGAGAAACTCGCGGACAACACGACGAGTTGTTTATGCAACTGGGAGGATACGTGGCCTTTTGACCACAATGAAATTAGTGAAGGGAAGGAAGAGGAGGGAGCGGCTCTTTCGGCAGAACTCCAGGGATGGTGAGAAAGCCGAGAGAGGGATGACAACCTGCTCGCCTTTCATGCTCCCGCTCCTTTCTTTTCCCGACTTAATATTTACACATTTGCATAAATACAAGTAAAGTGTCAGCGCGGCGACTCTCAGGTCTCTGAATAAACTGTTCTTCATGTGTGGCCAGGTGCAGAAGCTGCATGTTTTACCTGAATCCAAAATTGTATTAAGGCTCTGAAGCTGCAATGTGTGTCCTTAGCTCACATTGCATTTATTCATAGAAAACATTTCGCAGTAGATTTCTTTGCATTATGAGAAATCTGCCTCTTTAATTTCAGTTCCTTCACTCAGGGATTACATTATATTTGTTACATTATTACATTTATAACCCTATCACGTCATTTCCTGTATCCCAGCTGGGTAAGCTTTAGTCTGATCAGCAGTGGTACTGCTGGTTACAACAGTGCTTGTTTTTTAACAGACCAAAAAACAGATTTGCCAAAATGTTCAATTTACCTTTAAAATAAAGGGAAAGACAGGAAGTGTTTCATACAGAAAGTAAGTGCATATAAGTCACCTACACTTGTGTAAACTGGAGGCTGATTCTGTTATTTTTTGTGTGTGCCGGGGAAAAGAAAGAAACCTTCATTATAAAAACTAATTGCTATGACAGATTAACCTTTTATTAAACCTTCTCTTATGTCATTACTTGTCGAGCAGATTAGCACAATGACCCCGCTGAATAAGGTTTTCGCCTTTTTTACAGTGATGGGGAGCTTTGTCCTTCCTTTATTCACCCCAAAAGTTGTTTTAATTATAGTGTGAACATTAAGTTATGGATCAGGCTTTTTTCCTGGGCGAGCGATCCAAACCACACAGTAACATATTGATGACTAACCTGTGGATCATCTCCAATCCTGTCTTTTCTGAGGTTTGGTTTATTTTTTGCATCTTCTTCCTGCCGTACGATGGTGCCATCAACATGAACGACATCTTCATTATGCTAATGTGTGTATATTAGCCTAACTGTAGCTCAGTTGCTGGCATTTATTTATTGCAGTGCTGTTAAACCCTGTGGGCAATACCTGAGCAAACAGACATTTTATTGAAGCTGAATCTGGACTGTTTTGGGGCTCAAAGAAGAACAGGACTCAGACGTCCTGTCGCCCAGCGACAGTCGACAAGCTAACGTCAGCGACCACGTCGACTCTTCACACAGCAGGAGGCGTTTGAAAAATATCAACTTACTCACCATTTTCCTCTTAGCGCAGAGGAAGGCGTGACACTCGAGGGTCTCGTTGTGCTGACTCTGGACGATGTAGGCAAACACTTTGTCGTGCATTTTGTCCGCAGTGCAATATGATATTCTGAAACAAACACACACATTCAGAAAGCCTTTAATTTAAGACTCATCTGGGATTAAATGAAACTTTATCTGCTCTAAGCCCTTAAGCTATTCCAGAAATCTGACTTAAAACTGCACACGTGATCAAACACACACACACACACACACAATCAAACACACACACACACACACACACACACACACACACCAGCTGTGTGCAGGTACACAGCTGGACAAAGTCATAAATCTGAAAAGGAACGTGTGCAGTGGACATCTGGGCTGTTTGGTTTCTGTTACTACACACACCCACAGTGTCAACCCATAAATCACAGTGGGGACATTCCATATAAAAAACAGTTTAATCTGGAAAACAATCAGCTGCTAATAACTCCGGTATGTTTAATGATGCCACGCAAAATTTACCATGAATATTTTCCGATCTTGTAAGCCCTCAAAGTACATCCGTGTTGAAATTTATGCCGTTTAATTTCAGCACTTTTGAGCCATCCTAACTTCATAAATACAGGAGATATCTACATGGATTTTTATAGGGCTGAATCGGATGAATTTAACTCCCACTGCAAGCATCACAATCTAAAATCAAAAACTCAACTTTGTTCAAACAGGTGTCATTTAACCCTGCTGGTACCCTGTATGTTTGATGGGATTTCTGATCATTCACCAGAGAAAACTTTCAAGTCTCATATCACCGTGTGATTGAAGGAGCAGCCATCAATCTTAAAACCTCTCTTTTTTTACCCGGGGCGCTTTTGGAGCCATGATTCCTTCTGTGTTCAAATAACTTTCTAATTTTCTTTTGACAAAGAGCCGTCATGCTAATAATTTCTCTAACATAGTTTGGACCTAACATATCACCCCTGAGCTAAAACTGAAGGTTCAAGAATCCTAAAACTCTGAGCTCACAGATGAGCCTCAATCACAGAAGTACAAGCCAGGAGCTCAAGAAACTGCAGCAGCATGTTCCCCTCCAAAAATTATTAAGGAGTGTAAAAGATCTTACAGCAAAAACAAATAAATAAATCAGAAATGCTGGAAAACTAGAGCAAAAATTTCACCCTGCCTTAATGTAACTGGAGGAGCTTTAATTTCACTGTATGCTGGTAAAATTTTGCATGGCTTTGTGAAATAGGCTAAAGTTACTTTAATAAATTACAAGAATTCGCCTGGACTCTGTGCAGACCATGGGGAAAACGTGCACACGCAGAAGGTCATCTTGATGTGCGAATCCTCTGCATCGTCTGTCGCTCTGGCTCGTCAGTCTCAGGTGCAGAGTACGCTTTCAAATTAAGCCATAATAGCTTTGCTCCACTATTTGATCATGATGCCATCACTCTAACGCCAAAGACTCGAGCGCGACGGCCAGTCGGGGAGGGGATACCCAAGATGATGGAAGAAGGATATAATGCATTTCTGCCATCTGTCCTTCCTTTCTCCTTCGTGCATCATCTTCACTGTGCGATAGTCACACAGTCTGCTAACCAATGACAGACATAAAAAACTTTGGAGGGGTGAAGAATCACAGCTGTGATCTGAGGAACACAACCGAGATTTACGGGCAAATGTTTAGACGGGAGGGCGTCGGGGAAAATTGGGTGTCAGGCAAATCTGTTTATTGGCCGTTCATCTTCTTTACGTCTGAGCTCTATGCTGAGGTCACAGCTGGACTCGCCCGGTACAGCTTTTTAATTACTATAAACTATTTATTTCTTCAAATAAGCAAGTTCATAATTAACGCAGCATTTTTCTGGAGTAGAGGGTTGGTGCTGAACAATGACGCCAACACGGACGTGTCAGCTTCCTCTGATATCCACTTGAGTTCACGTGGACATTTTAACAAGTAAGATCGCTTACAGCCTGCAACCCAACTTCTTTATGGCCTCTTCTTAACATCTCAAATAAGGTTGAACTCATCCACCTGGATACTGCAGTTACAGCTGGAGCTGGGACATGCCCATGACTTGTCTTAGGTCCTTTTAAAACAAAACAGTAGCAACCACTCCATGGACCTGGTGGTGGAGGGATTTGGGTGCCCGAGAGATGCCAGGAGCTATAGCAAATCAGTCGTGAGCGAAGAGCAGCACCAAGCTTGACTCACGAGCACGCTATAGAGACGACAACTAGTAGGTCCAGAAACCTGGCCTGCACCAGAGACACCTCAACCTCCAGGCTCAGTGAAAACGAGCCACGTGAACTCATTTTCCTGTAGCACACCACCTGCGGGTGGAGCTGCAGATGTGAAGTGCTTTGTGGCAGTTGAAGGCGGACGCCTTGGAGGTCGAATCCCGGCTACTTAAACTAGCTTTAATGGAGTAAGGAGGGTTGTTTTGTGGACATAAAGGTTTATGCTGCATTTTTGGGCCTGATTTCACTTTTCAGACCTGGAAGCTCTGTTTTATATGGAGTCTATTAGTTAAATAGCGAGGGAAAGATATGAAACAAAAGAAGTTAGCTGTTCTAGCTCCACCCTGTTATTTGGCTCTCCTATCACCAGCTTTAACAACACCCACACAGCCCACGGGAATAGGAGTGTCTACTCCTGCATCTCCCCAAATCCCACAGTGTATAAATTGCTGAAAATCAGCTCAGAAATCACAACTTTCAGGTTTTCTTCAGTATCCAGTTAATCCAGTGATAACAGGACATGCTGTCAGCTCTTCCTGCATAATTTTAATTTGAACAAATATGGAGCTCGGGGCTAAAACTGTAGATCCCTGCATAATTTTCTGAAGCCCGTTTCGCTCACTTCCTCCAGAACGTCCTTGGTTTAAAAAAAAAACAAAAAAAAAAAAACATTGCTCACAAAAAAATGATGCAAATAAAAGAAATTCTTACAGAGCAAATGAAGAATTGATCTTAATGTGTTTGGATACACTTACAGCTTCCAGCAACACAATTAATCAGCTGAGTTTTATCTCCACCCAACCCTGTGACATCTGTCATTCTGCCTCACCCTCCCTTTGCACAACAGTGAAAATGTTAGCCAAGTTTAGTCCCCCAAAAAAAAAGAAAACGAAAAACAGCCTGGAGATGGAGAGACGAGATTTTTAATATAGATAAATGGTGCATGCTGGAAAATTAGCTCCATCTTGCACAGCTAGGCGACAGTTGTTCAGTGATAAGCGATGCAAAATTGAGCAGGTGGGGAGACTTTCCTCTCAAATACAGGCAGAAACACGACTTGTCCATCACATGGCTCCATGATACCTTGAGAAAACGGTCAATAATTTAAATGTTGTCCTCAATCTGCCAGCTTTGAAAAGAAATTAGTGTACACAGCCCACATTCGTGCTGGGAAAAATGCTGGAAAGTCCCATCTCTCCTTGATTTGTCAACTCATATAAGTGGAATTTGAGAAAAGTGAATCCAGCTCGGGGCCAGCAGAGGCGAGGCAACTTTTATATGCAAGCTCTGGCAGGCAAGTGAGCTCTTAAGACAAGTGTGTGTAAGACACATCTGAGGTAAAAGCTCAGACACACAGCTCCCGAGAGCACCGAGACTGATTAGAAACAGCGCTGATAGACTCCTACCCTCCCTGCCTCTCCCACCGCCTTGGGAGCGCCACACCTCCTAACACACATCTATCCAGTGATAAATGACAGCAAGAGGCGGATAACAACTTTTGCTTTATTGTGAATGATAAAGACAAGCTTAGGGTGAAACTATTTCACAAATCCAGACAACCTGGTCAGGTCAGTGGCACACAATGTTTGCCTGAGGAGGTGAAAGAGGCAGACTGACCTGTATATGGAGACGTTTTCTATCAGCTGGTTTGAGGCACTGTCACGCAGGATGATTCCACGAGGGGAGACCGTTAACGAGACTTTCTGGAGCTTTTTTCCACTGGCTTTGGCCTGGAGAAAGGAACAGGTAGAGAGAGGAAAGGGTGGAAAGAGAAAGGGTGGAGGCCACAAAAACAAAAAGAGGGAGAGAGAGTTAGCTAACAGAAGGAAAAAGAGGCTAAAACCTCAGGTGCTAATCTTCATTCAGCATGGTTAAAAATAAAAACTACATAAAACATTAAAGTGGCATGTTAGACCCACTCTATCTGGAGTGGGCTGGAACAACCAACCTGTTAAATGATAACTTGTATCTCTTGTAGCAGTTTTATTCACATAAAGAATATTTTAGCTAAAAAGAAAAAAGGTGTTTTATATCCTCAAGTTTAAAATTACTCTGAGGTTGAGATGTAGAAATGCTTTAAACCTTCCCTCCGTTTCACTTTAGTGTAGTAATGTGAAGATCATTTTAACCTGGGCCTAACTGGGCCTAACTGGGCACGGAGTTCATTTCCAGCTCCACATTTTCATTCCTGGATTTATCAAAGTAGCTTCGCATGATGCGCTGCTCAAAACAATCCTTCTTTATCATTTACCAAGGTCTGTTGGAAAAAAGCTATTTTAGCTCTTCCACCTTTAAACATACTTGCATCTAATTGGCTGCCCATTGCACACACAAGGGCAGAGCTTCTGTGTCCATCTCAGGGACATCATCAAGTTTAGAAAAAGCACCTGAAACTGTGCGCTTAGAAGAGTCTAAAGCCTGAACTTGTGGCTCTCAGGATTACTTGTACAAAGGCCCATCATGTAATACTTCAGCCATGTTTAATATGAGCACCTCTTGTGGTTAGAGCGCCTATGTGACAGCAAATAATTCAGGGTATCGTATACAATCTATGTGGCTTCTATCGTTAGACAAAAGCACTGTCACACAAACCTGTGCGATAAAGATTATTTACTTTATCAAGTCTATTGCTTAAAATCACTCAATTCCCATTCAGGAGTAAGCATCCTCTGCAGGGGGGCATTAAGGGCAGGCAGCAGATTAGACCCAATCAGAGCCTCTGACTTCATTCACCGTGTCCCACTATTCTGCCACCGCTAACTTCATTATCCACTGAGCTGCCAGATCCAATAACATTAAGCTCTCCACCATGATAAAGCTGACTGAGTCACACAGTGTCCACATACTAATTGCATCCTCCTCTAAATGTCAACCTGGGCCTCAGGGAAGCAGCCAACCAGTCACTTTTCACCGAGGTGTCGGCGAGGTCAGGTCATAACGGAGCACGCTTCTGAATGACTAAAATATTTAAGCGGCAGAGGTGATGATGAAGAAAACGTCACGTATGCTCGAGAGAAACTCATTTTCTTGGAACAGTTTTCTGAACATTAAAAAGAGATTTTAAACTACTCGTGCGTGCGTGTCTCACCGTTGCCACTATCCTCTTGACAGCTGCTGCTGAGAGCTCCTCTCCTTTGGGCTGCTCGACCATCGTGACCCCCAGATACTTGAGCTGGAACGACATGCCCTCCAGTAGGGTCTCTCTCGTGTCCGTCCAGTTCTCCGGCAGCTCTGCAACATGAGACACACACCATTGACACTTCTGCTCACCACCATTACTAACCGTTTGCACGGCAGGCTGAAAATCCCCCCGTCAAACATGTCACCACAGCTTGCAGGCTGGCAGAACGTGTCCTTATCATGGGTCTGTACACCCTCCTTTCACAATGGTAAGATTATGCTCTTGTATGGAGTATATTACACTTGCTACATTAAAGACCGTGAGCTCAACTTAGGTGAGTAACAGGAAAAGCAAGGCCTTCAACCTGACCCTCACGGATCAACTGATTTGTTTACTAATAAACAAAATCTTAATACTAAGAATAGTTTTTGATTTAAGGGCCCTCAAGGGCAATTTACTCAGCAGCAAAACTGCACAATTTCATGTCTATGTTGTAGAGGAACAGAAACAAGCACTGGTGCCCTCCATGTTAGAGCCGTTTCCTGATTTAAAAAAAAAAACTTCGGGCAAACTTTCAGTGGCGCTACCACCATGTGGTATATGCGGCTAGTCATAATAAAAGAAAAGGTTTGCTGTTCACCAACATTCAGATAGCAGACTCATGTTCTACCTATGAGTTCTTCTGTGCTTTTCAGTATCGTCACATTTTAACACTAATATAACGTAGCTGTGTGATCTTGTAAGACCAGCAGAAGAGGTTCGCAACTGTTGCTTCACTGCCTCAGATTGAAACAGTTTTCTTTTTGCATAAGACGGGATGTCCTCATCTGTGGCCTCACATTCAAATTGCATGAAATTAACAGTAGATTAAACGCACAAAATATTCTGCTAATTCTGAGGGGGATGTGGGGAACCCACAAGGATGAATGCATAACTTTATATCATAAAATTATACATCCATTTTTTGCATCTCTTTATACTTCATCAGTAATCAAAGAAGAAGCAGCTGTAGTTTCTTTTTAATCATGCAATAAACATTTTTCCATTCATAAAGAAAAGGTGGTTTTGGCCTCACTGATACTAGTTTCAGTGTTTCTTTTAGTTTTATCTGATTCAGTGTGTGTCAGGGACAAAACCTGAGCAGTTCAGATTAGACACGACAACAAAAACAGCCGTTGAAGGCAGCTGACTCGGAGTCATGCAAATGTCCCCAAGCCTCGAGAAACATGTGCATCCATGCCTCCATAAGCTGTCTGTGATGGCGCATGTGACCAACACGAGGAGGACTAAAGCTAAAGACAAGCTTGGTTAACTGAACTGTTTTTCATACTTTGTTTTGGTGAACTATAATGACCTCTAGTTAAAAAAAACAAAAAACAAAATCTATGTGCTTCATAAGGTGCCACAAAGGCTTTACCCAGACGTCACTGCTGTCACCCCAACTACATGGAGTATTTCCATCAGTAAAAATGACTCCATCAGCAAATCTCCTGTTGTTTGGTACACGGGAGAAAAGGGAAACTTCAGACAATGAAACAATGGTGATAAAGTACCTTTCAAAGGAAAAGAGCTTTATCATGAAGCTGGAAGTGTGTAGAGGAAATGTGGAGCTGCAGTTACTGACAGCCAAAGACTTTAGTTTGTTTAATTTGCATGAATCACACATTAGCAAAGCATAACGGCAGTTTTTTTTAATTACTCTTCAGTGCATCTGTTCTCTGCTTTCGCACTTCAAATCCGTTTCAATATCAGTAAATACACACAATTATACACACAATTAAGCAGCCTCAGTTTCACAGTTATCCCGTTCTTTCCCATCATCAACCTTTATTCTGGTAAAAACACTGATTACAAAAAACACCTACATTTAAGGGGAAAACAACATGAGCAGTGCTGTGTAGATCATACATCTCTTGCAGATTCAAGAGGAAAAACTAGTCGCTCTTTCCTGTTTGCCACATTTCATTTATAATTCTGCCAACTCCTGACGGTGAAGCTATTCATAAAAGACGGCTCAGGGCGAATTTGTTTTCGTCTTATTGTGCCATTATGAATAAAGCTTCTGCATCTGGTCAAGTAGTGCCAAATCCCCAACACCTATGTTCAACTTATGCCAGCACATCGCATTAGATACCCAACAAAGCAGAGCAAAACTGAGTAAATTAGAAACCAGCTGCATAAACAGCAGGAAAAAAGTTTCTGAGTGGAAGTTCACACAAGTGAACAACTGCTGTCACTGTTCAGCCATTTGCTCCAACAATAAACAAGCCGAGCTCTCCTTGAAGCTTGTAAAAGGTTTAGGGCTTGCCTCTGTGTGGTGTGATTGAGTGAGGGGCAGAGGGAATCCATTTCCCCCTTCAAAAGGTCCATCGGAAAACATTATCAACGACAGCACTAACCCAGGGTCTTCGACGTGATCGGCTGTCAGTGCCACAGTGTTTCTGTCCAAGATGTGCAAACAGGTGTAAGTGGGAAGAGTTTAGGCCTTTCTAAGGGCTTCAAATGTAATGTTTGTTAACCTAACGTTTCTCCTACTGGTATTGGTCTTCTCTAAAAGGAATTTCACCCAGACTGAAAATAAAAATATACAATTCAGCCATTTTTTACACCAAGTTTAATTAAATGAAGAAAAGGGATTGGTGGTGTTAAATACAGTAACACAGACTGCTTGTCTACATGCAGACTAATCGTTACGTACACTGTCACGCTCGAAAGTCCCAAATGAGCAGCAAACATCTTATTAGACATGCAGCATTTAACCTGTTAGCAGTCGGACGTACCGCCCACGGTACATTGGATGGTTTAGGGGACTAATTGGACTGCTAAGGGGTTAAAAGATTCTGGGCCACACCGATGCTGAAAATACCAGTATGGGATATAACACTGTTATAAACAATAACAAGATTTAAACTTTACGTCATACTTGCTTTAAACACTTCCATTCCATAAAACTGACACACCAAAAGCCGATAGGATGATGGTCGCCAAGAAGGCAGATAGCACTGTACAAAATATTGTGATTCCAATCATTTAGAATGTTTAATGTGAGGGGTTTCTTTGACCCCATTGATCAAAATAAATAAATAAAATCACACCAATCCATTAACACTGATACTGGTGTTTAAAGCAAGCTGCAGTCTAGTCCTGAGCAGTAGCTTATGCAACCCAAAGGTCCCTGCATCAGTGCTGATATAGGAAGTGAGGAAGTCAAAACAGGAAACAAAGTGATTGCAAAGAATTATTCAAAGTTTCTACAGAAGGTCATTTCCAAATTTTCCTCTGAGCTCCGGCGCTGATTTATCTTTGAAATGCCAGTAAAGACCAACCCACGCATGCACGACACCAGTGACATTAGTTTTGGCGTACGGCTCCCTTGGCAAGGGTGTCAGTGGCGAGCGTAAACTGCCAGTTAGGTCGAGACCAGCTGATGGGGCTTTGATCATAAAGCCCATTTCACAAGGGCAACCGCCCGTCCCTGCGTGCCTGAGCCTCCACCACAGGCTGTGGGTGCAGATGGCGACAAAGAAAAGCCCAGGCTGCGGGGGACTTGGCAGCCACAGCGAGACACCGGGGGATGAAGCCAGCCGTGGACGGATACCATTAACTATGAAAACGCTGTGAGTTCTTCCCTTGTTGACCAGTGGCTCACTTTTACACCATGTTGGCTCGAGCCGAACTAAACAGAGAGTGAGACTGTGCTTTTTAACCGAAAACACGTAGCTGTACAGGACAGGGGTTCAACTGATTTTATTAAAAAATAAAAATAAAAAAATCGTGTTGATTTTGTTTTCATTATATCATGGAGCAAAAACCGTAACTGATATAAAAATGTAGTTAATGGCACAGCACGAAACAATGTTATGCCTTTTCTGAGGAACATTTTAACTAGTTCCCATTTTGTAAATGTAAATAAGTACTTAATTTAAAAACTGCTGAACAAATATAAAAGGAGACCATTGATGTGCAAAAAAACCATTTCAGTTTTCCAAAGCTTTTTGAACACAGTTACTGTAAACAGCAATTTAAGACACCATATAATTTAGGGAACATAAACCATTTGGAAACAGCTGCTAGCCTATAATATTCCTTTGTTCTCCAGCCAAACCAACCCAGTGCGAGTGGTTATGGAGAATGGTTTTTAATGGTCTAAAAGCAGCTCCAACCAAACCGACACTTAAGTAATGGGCGAGTCTGACAGTGAACGCCCCACTCCAAGGTCGAGCTCTTTGAGCTCCTGAGTGGGGGGGGGGGGGCAGATGAAGCTCTCCTGCTGAGCTGATCCTGCAGTTACATTAGTGCCTGGATAAGAAAAACACTCACTATAATAGAATCTGTGGTGGAGAATCACTAGCTGCTATTCATCACTGAAACCAAGTTACAAGGAGTCGCTCGAGATGTTTGCACACAAACGCAGCATCCATCTGTTCTCTCATGTTAATACAGTTTATTTCACTGTTAATCTGAGACGCTGTAGTCTAATCTCATATCTGCTGTGCTTGTTTTTGGTTCGTTTTTCTTTTACTACCCACAGTAAGCTTTTTATACTGCATTATAAAGCCACTTTGCTGTGCTATATTCTCCTTTTATATAACCAAAGTGAATCATCGTTTAATATTTTATTTAAATTTTACTTTTCATTGTGTTTTATTTAAGTTTTAAATTATTCCGCTCCATACTGTTTTATGTTTAACTTCCCCCCCCCTCGCCTTTCCCTACCTCTCCTCGTCTTTTTCACTCCTTGCTTTGGTTCACCTTTCATTTCCTTACATTCCCTCTGCATTCCTTTTCTTTCTTTGCCTCACCTTACTTCTCCTTATCACTCTTCTTTTTCTTACCTCATCTCACCTTTTCTGTAATTGATAGAAACACAGGCTTAACCTGCACGGTCATAACATCTCTAACCTTGGATGCCTGCTGGTGTTTGTAGAAGAGACAGCGAAGCTTCAGCTGAGAGACTTTCAGTGTTTACACAAAAGCCACGCTGCTGACAGGTCTGCTCCAATGAATTTCAACAAACTGTCAGACGTGCTCAGTAAATGCTCCGAGTGATTCAAGGATGAGGAGAGATGCCAATCACAGAACACGCACAGGCTCTGAAAGGCGAGCCGCT